TATTAGAATCCTAACAAACTTGGGGCTGGGAGAAGCCTCTGCACATTTTGTTGCTCTCTGTGAAGCTGTACCTTGCTAAAAGAACAAACTGCATGAATTTGTTTTCTTTACTGATCTTCCACAAGACCCTATTGCCATGTGTAAGCAAGATGCTATCTATTCTGATCCAAACCTTGGTTTTATTATGGTGGCTTTGCACTGTAAATACCTGAACGGGGTTCAGCAGCATTTTAAATTCTCCCAGTAAAGTTTCACCCATGTTGTTTCCACTACGAGTATTGGCCAGCACCATTACTGGCATCCAGTGTTTCCTGCAGTAAGGGCCCACCTGCAAAAGGTAAAAACCAGCCTGTCACACAAACATGCACATCTGAAATTGCTTACAGCCCTGCTCTGAGCCCCATCCCCTGCAGGGGCTGAAATGAGAAAGTTACCAGTCAGTCTGAAGGAGACAACACACAAATACTTCTGACACATAAAGGCTGAAGATTCTGCAGTGCTCAGGACAATGAACACTACAATGCACTAAAAAACTCACAAAAATTCAAGGAAGTAAGGTAGACAAATCTCAGTATTTTGGAATAAAAAAATCCACATCTGCTTATATTTCAACAATGACATTAGTAAAATGACAAACACCTCTGAATAAACACAGCAAGTACTTAATAGATCTTGAAACATTTACCTGACAGTTACTACTGTCACAATGTATTGGGTTCAAATTTCAAGGTCTGTCTGTGGGCTTGTTTGGTGGTTTTTTTGGTATATCCCAAACCCAAGAAGCAGCAGGCCATTACCTTTTCATAGTTGGTTCTTTTCTCTTTACGCATCTGGTTGATTGCAGACAAATAGTAGGGTGGAATAATTAAATCTCTGAATTCTCCAAATGTACAATCCTCAGTCCTCAAACAATCCACCATGCATTCATCATGCACAGTGTACTGACACCACACACACCTGAAAAAAGACCAAAACACGTGAAAACAATCTTCAAACAGGCACATTGATTTGGCTCATTTATTTTAGACTTTTGTCAAAATACTTATGCTTACATGCACCATTATAAGCAATATTTTCATTCCCTGGAAGCTTATGTATTGGCTATAGAAAATTATATAAAGTGGTCATGTGCTTGCAGGTCTAGGAAAGTGTTTGAATTCTGCGGGGAAAAAAATCCAACAGTTTTAAATTAATTCAGTTCTTTTTAATTAAAAAAAAAGGTGCTATAAATATGCTCCTGTTTGTAATATTCACAGTTACACTGAAAGCCTGTAAAAGAACCTGAACCCCTGTCCATCCTTCAAGAGCACAGATAAAATACTGAAGCTCAACTCAACACAGTGAGACAAGTAATGAATTAATGTATTCCTTAAGATTGATAATACTCCTTTAAGCCTGAAATCTAAAAGGTTACATAGAACTGTACAAGGCTGATGGGATTTAGTTATGCAAAACTGCTTTGCTGTATGACCTATTCTAAAAGCTGTCCTGGAAAACAAGACTAGAACAAGAGGAAATACTGCAATATCCACTTCCAGCCTCTGCAGAATGTTAATCCTCATTTACTACATCCAAAGCCTTGATTTAAGCAGCTGGGAAAGCTATTTTTGGAGTCCTCCTGACTAATCCAACACACAACTAGAGTATCAGTGACACTTGCCCTATACTCTCTCCTTTCCTTTTCTTCCTTCCTCTCCCCTTTGCCTCCAAATTCCTGCCCCTCCCTCTCCTACACACACTGCCAAGGTTTTGTTTCTGATAATGTGCTCTTTTTCTCTGTAATTCTGCTTACTTACCAGGCAGTTTGACAGCATCATATAGAAACAAAGGAAAAGCTGGCAAAATCTAGGCTGAAAAGATCCTCTAAGTAGGCTCAAGTAACACACCGGGGCACGTGCCATTGCATTTTGGCACTGACAACTTTGCAAGCAGCCTTACTAATGACAGTGCAAATCCATTTAATGGTTCATTGTATTTTTAAAACACTCTTAATCACAAACTTTACCAATATATTGCAGTAGCTTACAATACTTCTCTTTAGCTTTTTTGAGCGTCCTTAAAAATGAACCTGAAACCTCTACAGAACATTGCTTGCTCTATTTACACTGAGCAGATGCCAATTTTGAGATGCACTTTGGTTCTCTGAACTGTAAGCTGTGCCAGTCAAACTGCTCAGGCTATCCACTGTACAACCAATAAATTCATTAGAAACTTCCTAATATCATCCCCTGAAATACAAACTCCCTTGGACAATGAGAGTCTCTTACATATAATTATACAGGAGCCTGCCCATCATGCTGGAGCAATGCAATTAAGAGAACGTGAGAGTGGACGTGAGATGCAACGCCACACTTAATCTGTGACTCACAAGCATCCATTTTAATTTCAGCTTCTTTGAAGTTGGTCTAACAGTATCTTATCTGACTACTGCAGGATCTCTTTTGGGGTGTGGTCTCCCACCAGCCCTGTGGAAAACACAACACTGCCATGGCACTGTAGTGCTCCTGCAGTCAGACCGCCTTGCAGTACCTGTAGTCGCAGAGCTTGGGCTGCGTGCCGCACTGTTGTTTGCAGACCATGCAGCAGCTGCAGAGAGGGACATTGCCCCTGATCCAGTGGTGCGGCATGGAGCTGGGGGCTCCCGCGGTGCCCCTCATCGTGATCTCCTTGCAGAGGAAGCGCTGGTCCGCCTTCTTCAGGCAGGCCTCGCAGACGCGCAGCCCGCAGCAGCCGCAGAAGGCGCCGCGGAGGATGTGCTGGGCGCACACGCAGCAGTACGAGGGCTGCCCGAAGAGGTCCGTGTAGCGCCAGTCGTGTTTGCTCTTGCGGAAGATGTCCCGGATCAGCAGCTGCCGCCGCGACCGCTGGAAGCTGCACCACGCCGTGATGAGCACGGGCAGCAGCACGGAGCACAGGGTCCACACGGCCAGGCGCCAGTCGGGCCCGGCCCGGGAGGCATCGCCCGAGCCCTCCATCCCTGCGCCTCCCGGCCTAAGCCCTCGCACCTCTCGGGCGGGCGGCGGGGCGAGCCCCGGAACGGCCCCTTCGCTCAGGGAGCCAAGGCGCAGCTTCACGCACCATCTCCTAATCCCTCCTCAGCGCTCGGCACCGACCTGCGCCACATCGGGCCGACGGCAGGGTTCCGGCCGGGGCTCCTCCGCTGCCCGGCCGCCCCCGGGCTCCTCCTGCCGCTGTCCCCGGCGCCGGGAGGACGCGGCCGCACGGTCCCGTGTGCCCCTCGCCGCTGCCCCGGGCCCCTCCGCGGGGCACGCGGAGCGGACAGCGAGCTCCGGCCCTCGGCCCGGCCGGGAGCTGCCGGCGGAGCCGGGGCCGGGGCGCACGGCGGGCTCGGAGCGGCGCCGCGGGATGCGCGGGGCGGCGGAAGCGGAAGCGGCCCGGGGCCGTTGCCAGGACACGGGCGCCGCCCGCCCCCGTCTGTCGCGACAGCCGGGATGTCGGCAGCGGCGCTCAGCGGCCGCGACAGTGCCTGGCGCTCCGGCTCCGGCTCCGGCTCCGGCTCCGACTCCAGCTCCGCCGGGCCCAGACCCGAGGCGAAGGCCGCGCTGGCTTGGGGCCGAGTGATGGCGTTGTTTGTGTCTTTATTGCCCAACCATAAATGTTTTCCCCCATAATTTCGTTCTGCCCTAGAATGATGGAGTCATCAGTTGGAAGAGGCCTTTAGGATCACTCGGTCCGACCGGCACTGCCACTGTAACCACTAAACCGCAGCGCCAGGTCCAGATCCTCTGGAGCAGCTCCAGCCATGAGGACTCCACCTCCCTGGGCAGCGCTTCCCAAAGCCTGACCACACCAATGATGATAATCTTCAATCTGAATCCCCTGTCTCAGCTTGAGGGATTTCTTTCCCTGGTCCTCTGTAGGCCCAGCAGAAAAGCCCAATCCCTGCCTCCCTACAACATTCCAGGTGGTTGTGGAGAGCAGGGAGGTTCCCCCAAGTCACACCTTTGTGCCTGTATTTGTCCTCCCCATGGTTGTGCTATATTGCCCAACCATAAATGCCTTCCCCTCATAATTTCGTTCTGTCATTACGTGTCCAATTGTTTCCCTGGAGTAGTTCTAAAAATAGTGGCTGCCATTAGAACCTACAGGTTTTTGCAGTTTCAAAACAGTATAGTGAGCACTGATGTAAGTCCATACAGCCTATACAAAATTGACTGGATTCTAGGGTCTTGGTATCTTTAAGAAAACACTGAAAAATGCACATACTGCACAGTTGGGCAACACTCAGATTTCCAAGGAAATTCCTCACTTCCCTCGTGTAAGAGGCAATGACGAACTACGACTACCTATTTTATATATTGTAGTTGAAGGGATGCATTTCATGCCCTACAAATTGGTGGTGCTGGTACCATGTGTTCAGCATGGCACTGCCCAGAAGAGCTCTAGACATTTCTCAAGGCCAAAACTACCTGTTTGCAGTGACATTTGCTAACCTACGTCCTTACTTAACACTATGCTTAATATACTTTATAATCCTGTTTTCTACTAACTTGTCCTGAAAGGAGGAGAATGATGTGTGTTTTCATTTGTATGGTTCCATTAATTTGATAGAAAACTCTGCTGTGTTTCTCAGTAGTCATAGTCTGGCTTTGCTAGAGTTAAACCCCATCAGTAAGTACTTCTCTGCTGGAGCAAAGTTAGAGACAATCTTTGAAAAACGGGCGCCTTCGCAGCTGCCTCTGAGATTAACAGTACTGGGCAGTTGTTTCTTTTAAAAAACAATAGTTTACCTTGGGCACCAAAAACCTTTGCTTGCCATGCTAAATATAAGGGGATAGGCTTTACTTTCACATGTTTAAAATACCCAGTGTAGCTCTGAAGCCTGAGGTGGAAAAAAAAGGCCTTCTATTTTCTTTCCCTCAGGAAAAGAGTTATGCAGAGAATGTGTGAGCAGATAATAGACTGATTCAAACCTTCAGACCAGATGTCTTCAGAATCATACTATCACTCAAATTAAAGCATAAACAAACATTTGGGACTGACGTAGCTCCTTCAAATAGGCGATAGCCTCGGTCAGGGTTGCTCATTTTGGAACAGACTGAGGGAAAGCAGAATCAAAATGAAGAAGTTTCTTGTGGTTGTCTCCTTTTTGGTCCTGCTGACAGCTGTTACAGGTAGGGATATCAACAAACCTGCATATATGTGTAGATCTGCAGAGCATATAAGTAGTATTAGTCTGTCAATCTTCTATTTTAGTATTAATTTTTCATATATTTTAATATATTTAATTTTTAACACTCAACTATTTTTATATTGCAGACTTTCCATGATTTGATTTTTAACAATTGTGATGTTGTATTTGATATTTAACTCTCTGCATTACCACACTGTAGTCATTTGTTGTAAACCCCAAAATTTTAGTTTTACTTGCTTACTATTTTAATATTATTTTACCAAGGTCCTGCAAGTAGAATGTTCAATGCAATCTCTTCTTTGCAATGTATCTAACTCATTACTTTGAAAAAAATCCTATAAAGCAACACAGAAAAGAACAAAAAGTTGGAAGAGCAACTAATGCCAGTGGTTTGAAGGTGCTGTTGTATTTGCTCATTTTATAGTACCATGAATAAGTGGGTTTTGCTTCATACTAGTAGGACAAGAGAAAACACAAGTATAAAAATGGTTTAAAATTCCATTCCTATCTCTGGGAATGCAATAACCCCTGGGAAGGGGCTGTTGTGAAATGAAATGTCTCCAAACCTGATTTTTTTCCTATAAACAAAGTGTTCTTTCATTAAAGAACACTTTGTTTATAGGAAAAAAATCAGGTTTGGAGACATTTCATTTCACAACTGATAGATAAAATACTAACTTTTGATAATTTCAGAATTAATTTCTGCTCTTCTGTCTTTAGACACTTCACCAGTTTTGTCTGAAAAAGATGCCAAACAGATGCTGAGGACTCGTCGTGAAGACAGGCCAAGAAAAGCTGGTTTCCCTGATGAACCAATGAGGGTGATTTATAACATTTACTATTAAATTACACTAACTGAAAAAACACAACACCAAATCCCCCAAAATGTTTGTGCTTAGTATTAAATTTCTATTGCTTCCAGGTAATATGTTATGATTATCACCATTTAAAGCAGCTGAGTTCTTCCATGAAATATTAAAAAACCCCTTTAAATTCTTTAATTACAGTTAAAAACATTCTGTAACTGCTGAGTATTGCTCACGAAATGTTCACTTGCAGAATGAGGAGATTATTTATCATGGTTCAAAAATACCAGTCAAATTATAGAGAAGAAAGTGGCTTTTAATTTATAGAAATGTGGATTTCATCAGCTTGTTCCTGAAAAACTAAGTAACAGGAAAGGTCTTCTGCTTACAGTACATTCTGCCTGCATTGTGCAGGGAGAGAGGAGATGGAGGTGTCAGTGGTCAGTGTGGAGGCTGAGGTAAAATCACTTTCATTCACTTATTTATGGATGCTACAGATAGAATTGTTTTTTTATGATATTGTAAGAGTTTTTAGTTGCTGGCTTAATGCAACAGTTTTGGGTTTTCATGCAATATCTACATTTATTTCTTTCTAAACCCTATTACAACAAAAGACAAAGTAAAAGAATTAAAGAGCCTTCTGTTTTCCTTGCTTTGAGAAGACCTAACACATAATCCTGCACTCATCAAGGGTACTTAAGGTATTTAAAAATACTGCCTATTTCTTTCCAAAGTAAATAAATGGAGCTAAAATCACATGGTTCTGAAGAGGCAAAGCCCACAGAAGGCAGGAGCACACAAGGGATTGTGCACATGATGAGCACAGGGGGCTCAGTTCTGCAAGGTGCTGAACACTTCTGGACTCCGCAGGACATGAAGAGCACGATGTGCCTTGCAGGATTGTAGAAACAGCTCCTGGTTTTCCCTTTCCAGTGGGTAATGTACACCAGCCAAAAAGAATCCACCTGCCTAGCACTGGGTGAACTCACTGCTTGTCAAGGGGGACACCACGACAAACCAAAGGTGGCACAGATATTGCTCTGTGCTTGTTGACAGCCTCGTACACTGAAAATTGCACAGCACAGCCAAAACCCAGAAGGCTGCACTGCTGCCCACAGCACTCAGGACTGGGTTATTTCTGAGTTGTTAAATGAGCCTTGTAGTTTTTGCAAATGAGCAGGAATACAGCTCCCATCTGCTGTATAACCACGATTAAGGTTATGTGGTAAATGCAACAAATATTGAATACAGAATAAATGAAGCAGCAGAACAGGTGGATCGAGGTAATTCCTGTATGGCAGGAAGCTACATGCATGCCTGCAACATTTAACCTATGGTTTAGTTTTAGCTGGTCCTGTGAGGAGCAGGACTTGGTGATCCTCATGAATTCTATGACTCTCTATGGGGAGGGGACGGATCCAGGGCTAAAGAAATATTGGATTTCTGACTCTGCTGCTCTGTCCTTGCCACTTTCTGTCCTGATTAGGAACAAATACTTTTGAGAAATTCCTACTGTCTTATTTTCTTTTGTATTTTTTTTTATCTAGAAAGCAAGGCTGACCCTCTGCAAGAAAATCCAAACATAAGAGTATTTGTTTTGCTCCCTAAATGCTAAGGTTTAAAAAAACCAAAAAAAACCCAACCCTCATTGCCCTGTGGGACGTGGAGATTTTCCATGTGAGTGAAGGTGCATGGCTGCTGCATCCCTGTGCACAGCTTGTGCACATGGACTCAAGGAGGAAAACTGATTTTGTATGGATGCTTTGTAGCAGAATGAAATGAATGCTGGGGTGAACCCACCTCTGTTCATCTGTTTGAAGCAAAAGCTGTTTGTACTGGGCCAGATCATGCTGAGCTGGGGAATGTAATTTGCAATTCTTTGTGATACTCTTTGACTTCCACAGTGCTGCTTGAGTCAAAAACCTTTTCAGTTACAGAAAGAAAGATCAGCCCCATTTCATTATTAAAAGAAAATGTAATTTATGTTATCAGCACGTTTTAAACTTAATTTGGCTGAGATCCTCCTTTTGATAAAGTGGCATCTTCTCAGTCACATAGTTCTGTTCCCTGCCAGTTCCTCAAGCAGTCTCTCCCCAGAGACCTCAGCCAAGTCTCCTGGTGCTGTGAGCAGAGAGCCCAGTGAAAGGCAGGATCCTGGTGCTGGAATACTTGGCCAGTGCAAAGGGTTTAGGCCACAGCTTCCATTCCAGCAGTGCCCACTCTGCAAAGCAGTGGGGGATTATTTTGAATGAATGTATCTGGTGTTCACAAAGCTTATGAGCCCACTAGGACTGGCACTTTTTAAAAGTAAATTTTGTCCCTGATGGAGGTCAAGTTTTTGGTACACAGCCTGCTTTATTTCAATACATTTTTTGCTGAGACCAAAGCCTCTCTATATCAATTGGTATAGGAAATTCACATTATTTTATTTATCACCAGTCAGCACTGGTGATAAGTAAAATAAATATAAACATTTTAACTTATTTTGATATTATGAGCCCAAAAGGTATTGAAAATTCAAACTACCTGTGCTTCAAATAAAATCAGAATGATTTTGTTGAAGGAATTACAAATGGGGTTTGATAAAGCTGTTGGAATTTTATAAGATGTAGATTTGGCATAGATAAGAGCTTAAATTTGATTGCTGCAAGTATTTTTGAATTTATAAATTTTTAGAGTAATGGAAATAAACCATCTGCAGCACTAGAATAGCTTGTGGCTTGGGAAATGTGTAGGTAGTGTGTGCTACCTACTGAACCCTTCAGTCCTGCCACATGATCCTGCAAGGGGTTAATGTTCTTTAAGCAGCAGGAACCAGTTTTCAAAAGGGGCTATAACAAATCTATTTGTGAGAATCCTTTGTACCCTCAGGCACAAGAAAGGCTTCTGTGTTGATATGCAAATAAGAAATGTGTATACAGAGTTCCTAATTTATGAATATTGTTGTATAATTCTTGCTCAAGCCCTTTGCTGGTCTGCAGATGATGTCATTCACTAAATATTGCTAGGCTGGGGCAAGCTGACCAGCAACACCATTTCACTATAGTTGATTATTTTAAGGGATAAATTAATGGCTCTTACATCAGCTGTGAAATTATCCTGGGTCCCTGGCCTGACATTAGAATTGAGTGATTACACAATTAAATTACTTTTGCTTTTCTTTAAATAGGAGTATATGCTTTACCTCCAGCGCTTGGAGCAGAGATCAGAAGAGCAATTCCTTGAACACTGGCTGAATCCTCATTGCCTGCCACACTGCAACAGGGATCTGGTGCATCCAGTCTAATGGGTTTGCCTACCCTGCAACTGGTATATATACATATATATGTATTTCTTCTACAATGCATATTTTTTTCTCCATAATGAAAGGCAGAGCCACACACTGGGAGAGAAGGGAATTACCCAAGGCTGGGGGAAGCACCTTGTGCTGAAAGGTGCTGGGCAGCTGAGCAGGGGCAGGGAACAGAAGTGTCCAGGCATCAACTCTGTCACTCTGTTCTGTTCACATTAATAAAACTCTGGTTATGCATTTCTCTGCTGTGTGGGTGTAAGCTGGTGACTGCAGAACATTTTTATTAATTGCTGCTGTTTCCCTTCTGTCTGCTTCTATTCTTTTCCCAGCTGTTGTGTTTAAGTCTTGTTCTTGTTCACTTAGCTGTCAGTGGGACTGGGGCAGGATTAAACTCAGTTGTCATCCTGGAGATACTCAGTGTGAAGTCTGATCTGCAAGGAGGTTTTTTAAACAGACATGAAATTTGCCAACTGAGATAAGTTTGAATAATCACCATAAAAGTGAAGCTATATCATTCCCACTTAACTTTTTAGTATAAGAGTTGCAGATTTAGCTTCATATTTTCAAAAGTTTTAAGCAGTAGAATACAGAGATGGTATCTGTCACAGCTGATCTGTTTCAAAAGACAGAAACTTCATCTGCTTAACATTCTTTTATCTATTTGTACATCTCTGAATGCCTTTAAAAATTGGGACATTGTGGTAGACTTCAGTGGGGCTCTATTAATCCACAATAAAGCAAAGGTCTGAAACTCATTTCAAAACAAAAACATAACATTCCCAAACTTCAGCCTTAGGAGGTAAGTTGGCAATTTTCAAAAAAATCTTCCAGCTGAGACACAGTTGAAAGCTGGCTCACTTAGCTATAGGAATTCTTTCCAACAGCTGCTCCCAGGCCACTGTGAAGAATTAATGTTAGAAAAGTGTTTAAATGATTTGAAGCCCTTAAGATGTTATTAGTGGTGAATTTCAGCATGGATTTTGATATTTGGGGTTCTTTTTTCTGCAGATCTCCACATGGATTTATACACGATTGTGTTAAGGAAGACAAGATTATTCCTGCATTGGCTACATGCTCCCTGTAGAGCAGAACCTCTCTGCAATCCTCATGGTACAGCAGAACTTCCATCTCTAAGTGGCTTGATGAGTTCCAGACCACCATGTATTTTCTACCAGCAATGATTGTATGCATGAATAACTGAATTGAGGGTTTCCACAGTTTCTGAGGTATGGGCAACTTGTTAGTCCTAGAGTATCCTTTCAAAGGCACAGGTTTAGACTGTCTGAAGCAAAAGGAACTTGGAGGGAGAGGTCAACAGAAAATTGCAGAATACCAACATGAACAGAAGGCCAGCTTTCTGGGATTTGGAGAAATCCTTAATTACAGTTTTCTAGGTTAAATAACAATATTTCATGAGGACACAACATTTATGTAACACTATTTCCTACTGCCTGATGAGTATTTCATGTATTGTTTCATAATAAAAGCTTGACTTAATTCCATTTGCAGATGATTTTGTTCCCTTAGTCTCCCATACTATATTCTGACAAAACTCACTGGAAGTGATGCTCAGTGTTGTGAAGTACCAAGGCAACATCAGAAGACTTTCTAGGAGCAGCAGCTGGGAAGCCCTGTGGTGCAGACTAATAATTGTGTAGTTTCTCTGCACAATTATCCCTTTCCCTTGTAATTCTGCCAGGAGGGGCAAATGAATCCAGCCAGCCCTTTCCTGCCTGTGTGCCTTTATGACTTAAACCTTGGAAAATAATATCTTGTACAGTCAGATGGGGAACATATGATACCTGTAAAACAACATAAAAAATTGCTTGATGGCTCTTAAATGACTGCTGTGATCTGTAATGGCAACAGAATTAGTTATGAATGGTGACTTTCAGAGCTCCTCACTGCAGTCACACTTGAAGCCTGAGGACTGGGGGCAAAATAAAACACAATTTTATCAATATCTATAAGGTAATTAGTGCTACAGAGCTCTTGACAGGCTGGACTAGATCAACAGTTTTTCTGGTATACTTTTCTTCCAGTAAAACAGCTCTCCTAGATGACTCCAAGGAAATAATTTAAATCTCAAAGCATCAAAGGCTTGCTTTCCCCTACTGCCAAGATAAATCACAGATTAAATCTGGGAGTGTGAAAAAGTATAATCAGGCTGCTATTGTGTGCTTCATTCATAACTCTCTCAATACAGACATCTAAATTTGCATATCTCTTTGAGCTAAAGTCACTAGGTGAAATCCTGGCTCTGTTTTTATTTGCACAGTGAAAAATTCATTTAATGACAATTATGTCAACTGTCACCCTGTGAAAGTCGTTTTTCAAATACTTTTTTGAAATGAAAGAACTCCCACCTGATTATATTCTGTCATTTTGAAGGTTAAGGAGAAGGTTAAGCAGAAGGTTCTGCTCAGTTCTCAGTAGCACTGAGCTAATCCTAAGGCAAACATGGAATATTGTTCATTGCTTTGCAGTTTGCTTTTCCACATGAGGGCCGAAGGATCTCATGTAGGTGTCTCCAAACAAAAGTGAAGTATTATTCAGTCTAATTAACAAGGAGAAATCTAGAAACATAGAAAGGTGAAGTACTTCCTGCTCACTGATCCACATTCCCTCCCACTTCATAAGGGAAGGAATTATGGTGTAGTGCCAAGAGCCTGTAGCCCAGGTTGGTGTCAGGCTGATGGGCAAAGGAGCCAACTCGTATTTGCACTCATGTTCATACCAAACCCATCTCTCTTATAAGTATCTACACCTCTGTTCTGGGCTAGAACTGACCACTGAAGAACATCATGGTCCCTCAAGGCAAGAAAAGCAGCAGACACCATATAGGAAAGTTTGAAACATAGGGAATAAAGGGAGGGGAAAAAAATGAAGGAAAGGAGAAAGAATTAAAAACATTGAAGTTAAAAATAATGAAAGAAACCTAGACTAAAGCCTATGAGTGTCTCTAGAATCCTGTGATCATGAAGAACATAGCCAAGTTACTGCTTTTTAAGACATTCAGCTCTTCTGCCAGATTTAAGAAGCCAAGTCATCCCTTTATACAAATTAATTTTGCAAGTAAACACAGAAACACCCTCCAGCCTATGGGAGAGGCAGCCAGAGAAGAGGAGGCCAGCACAGCACAGCAGACTTTCATAAGTTGCTCATCACTGGTGAACACTGAAGGCTGAAGGGACAGTGAAGGCATGTGACTGCTTTAGACTATTGCCATGGATGCAGCAACCCCTCATCCTGCTAATTGTGTATTTCTGTATGTCCATAAAATATACACAATGTTTTACACAGAATCCAGTGAACTAACAAGAGAACAAGATCTGGGGATCAGGTATAAATAAATTAGCTCAAGCATTTATTGTGACTCAGTAGTGAAAAAAATTATAATTAGCGTAAAAAGTAAACACTGCATAAATATACTCAGTTATAGCTATAGAATTATGTAATTAAGCTTTTTTTCAGAGTCCTTCAGGTTTCTTTTAATTCTCTTCCTCTACACAGATCTTTCCTTCAAAGCTCTGCTGAGCTTGAATTCCTCTGTAGTTAAACTAGATCAAGTGTGTTCAAGGATTAGTTGCAACTTTGTTTTTTTCCATGTCTAAAATCTTGGGGAAAAATGCTGGACTTTCCTACATGCCTGCCAACCAGAAGAACAAGCATTCTGAAAGTTGGATACTGAAGGTGGGAAAGCTGGAAAAATAGTTGTTTTCCAAATGCTTTAAAAGAGAAGGATTAAAACAGACCTGGGAAAACCTTTCATCCCTGATAAGCAAGATCATAAGCTCCAATCATTGACCTGTTTTGCATCCAGTGCCTGTCCCGAGCTGAGCAGCTGCCCACTAGATGCCACTGTTTCTGCATTCAACCAGGGTCCAGCCCACAAGGACTGAAGGCACCACATCCCTCTTCCTGCTGCTTGTTTTTTTACTCCTTTTCTTAAAATGTTCAGCTCACATGATCAAAATCAAAAGTCACCTCTATCCCATAAAACCAAGACCTTCAGCAAATGGCTGATTTTCCCCCTCTGGGTTGCAGACTGCTCTGGGTGTGGGTGTAGGTCTGGTTGTGCTTCATTACGCCACAGCAAGAAATGGTTGAAAGTTCCTACAAGCACATTGTGGTGGTTTGTGGCATTTTACTGCCTGCTATGCACACACAGATGCTAACAGAAGATTTTGTGTCTTTGCAGAAGCTGTTCCCTCTCAAAGTAGATAATTTGACCCCTGTTCAGTTTCCCCAGATTAAGCTGCAGACTGATCAATTGGTAAAAGCATCACTCTTCAAGGCATGACATTATCTTCCTACATTTATTACCTTTAGCAGCATAGGGAGCTATGTGTTAGTGCTGTGCAAAGTGTACTGAAAAGGCAGACTGTGCCCAGGGCCAGAAATGTAGTGTCTCTCTATAAAGAGCAGATACATAACATCTGCTCTAATTTTAAATACACAAGAATGCATTGAAAAAAGGCAAAGGCTGGGATTTTTGAAAGCATCAACTTCTTCAGCAAGGCCAAAAGATTTTATCACAGACAGATAAACAGGACATGAAATAGTTACACTAATGCCACTAAGCACTTTGGCAGTTCAATTAATTGGCTCTTTCTACCAGACTTACCTTGCAGGAAAACATGCACCAGAAGTTCTTATTTACCAAGACTGGAATGTTCAGAAAGCTCCCTGAAAGCAAGTCAGTCACTTGCTTTATTTGAAATTCATTTTCACAGTGATGAAGGTAATGGAAAATGCAAAACTAAACTTACCAATTTGCAGTTTAGATGATTCAGTATTTGTCTGCTTCTCAGGGAGGCTGAGCAGGTGAGCACATTGTTCCACTCACAATGAGAGGACAGCTGCTCTGGAACATTACTGAAACATGAATATGAAAAAGAGTTACAAAGAAAATGCCTATAACCATCTGAAATTAAGATATAATGTGTATGAAAATATTTCCCTGCAGTTCTCCAGGGCTTTTCCCCATCTCCTTTTTCAATAGTTCCAGCCCTGTTTCAATTGTCAGAATATTGTTTTGAATGAAGACTTCTGTTACTTCCAGTGAATGAATGCATAAATAATTTCTGAAGCAGTGGAGTGAAATTGGATTGATTGAATGTGATCACTGCAGTAGAAGCCTACTTTAGATTCCCAGTGAGAACTTATTTTTTAATGACTAAAGAGATCAGAGTGGATTTTAGAAGGTTATCTGAGCCTTTTATGGTCTACAAAGAGTAGAAAATCTTGTGAGAATGATGTACCTTGAGATTTCTGATGTGTGATTAGAAATGCTGAGTGATCTGTCTCCTAGCTGGCATTTTAATCCTTTTTCAGATCTGGGGGTAGAGATGTGCACTAAAATGAAAAATATTAAAAAGCAGAAAATGTTCAATGAACCCTGAGTTAATAAAATTCTCCTTATTCTATCAAAGCAGCAGGGCCAGTGTCAGCTCAACATGAAACCAAAAGTTTGGAGCACTCAGATCTCAAGCTCATCTTCATATTTTGTTTTTTTTTTTTCAGTAGGAGATGATCAGTTGAAGTGCATTTCTTGTTTCCACATTTGGGGAGATTTGGATCTAAAGATCCATTTGAGCACCTTTCTATACAACACAAGCATCATGCACATACATTTAATAAATTGAGTGAGCCAACCTTGAATACAGGAGATCTTAGACCAAAGTGAGGCAGAACATTGCTTCATTTTGTATTTTGTATTTGTCAGAATAAACAGCAGCTACTAAATGATTTCAATAAATGAATTCAGCAAAATGCTGGTGTTCAGATGTTCAGAATGTACCTGGCTTAGAGTTTGCAAAGAACCTTTGGTGTGACTCTGAATATGTGCCTGTAGTGTCCACAAAAATGAGACCAGTCCTCAAAATGGACTGGAATATCTGATTCACAGCACTTCTCCTGTCCAGATATCAACAGAGCTCAATATTCCATCAGTGCAGGATACACTTCTATCTACTTCCCATGCCCTGTACAGGATTAGTTCCAGCATCAGTAATAAACTCCTGTGCTTCTATTACCAAAATAAGGTTTATAAGCACACAACTAATTAGCAGAGCATTTTTTTTCTTTTTTTTTTTCCTCTCTTCCCTGGCAAATACTTTGATTAAGATTCTGGGAAAAAAACCCCCAAAAAAACAGTAAAAAAGAAAGAGCAACACTGAGTGGCAGCCCCAGGAAAAGCCACAAAAAGAGGTTTGTGCTCAATTTATTGGTGCCATGGTCCACACAGGAGCAGCACTGGGCTCTCCCCTGTAGGGAATAGAACACTCCAGCAAAACAGGGTCAGGCTGTTTCTGCAATCATAGAATAATACTGGGACAGTAAATTCAAAGGTCCAGTGGAAGATTTTAATTTACTGGGAAATGACAATGCATCTGAGGCCAACCTGTATAAAATTGACTCCTTCATTTCTTAGTTGCCTGCTGCTGAACATCTGCTCTGAGGCTGCAGATGTAGTTACCTTTCATGGACCATCC